TCCAGTACTGTGTGACAGTGAATGTGACCCCCCCATACTCACTGTACTGTGTGACAGTGAATATGACCCCCCCCCATCCTCACAGTACTGTGTGACAGTGAATATGACCACCCCATCCTCACAGTACTGTGTGACAGTGAATGTGACCCCCCCATCCTCACTGTACTGGTGACAGTGAATATGAACCCCCCCCCATCCTCACTGTACTGTGACGGAACGATTTATTCCAATTATGCAATATTGTATATAAATGTGATAAAAGATGTAATAATGGTGGTATTGATGATAATGATTGTGTGGCTGTGCAGGGTGTGGGGAAACCGGCGGGCGCCGCCCCTGGAGGTGGTACTGAGCAGTGCAGCGCAGCAGGGCGGCTGGGTCCTGGTGCAGGTCAGTAACATTAACCTGTTTACCTCCCGCCGCCTCTAGACGGTTCATATGGCTCATATCTTGATAATGTTGGATAACCTGTCACCTGCGCCATGGTGCTTCTCTCTCTAACCATAAAACCCACCCACCCACCCACATACTGCCTACCTGCCTACCTACATACCTACCTACATGCCTGCCTGCGATACCTACCTACCTACCTACCTACCTACCTACCTAATACCTACCTACCTACCTACCTACCTACCTACCTACCTACCTACCTTCCTTCCTTACTGACCAAAGCTTTACCTACTGGGATCTTATTTATTGTAGTAATGTACCATTGTTTTGCCACACCGGACCTGCAGGGTGCCGAGTCCGCCGCCGTCCTGCCCACCCTGCTGGCCGCCATGACCTACCTGGCCTCCCCGGACGTCAAGGTCAGTAGTGCCATCCTTCATGAGGTCAGTAGTGCCATCCTTCACGAGGTCAGTAGTGCCATCCTTCACAGGTCAGTAGTGCCATCCTTCACGAGGTCAGTAGTGCCATCCTTCACGAGGTCAGTAGTGCCATCCTTCACGAGGTCAGTAGTGCCATCCTTCACGAGGTCAGTAGTGCCATCCTTCACGAGGTCAGTAGTGCCATCCTCACGAGGTCAGTAGTGCCAATCCTTCACGAGGTCAGTAGTGCCATCCTTCACGAGGTCAGAAGTGCCATCCTCACGAGGTCAGTAGTGCCATCCTTCACGAGGTCAGTAGTGCCATCCTTCACGAGGTCAGTAGTGCCATCCTTCACGAGGTCAGTAGTGCCATCCTTCACGAGGTCAGTAGTGCCATCCCTCACGAGGTCAGTAGTGCCATCCTTCACGAGGTCAGTAGTGCCATCCTTCACGAGGTCAGTAGTGCCATCCCTTACGAGGTCAGTAGTGCCATCACCTCACGAGGTCAGTAGTGCCATCCTTCACGAGGTCAGTAGTGCCATCCTTACGAGGTCAGTAGTGCCATCTTCACGAGGTCAGTAGTGCCATCCTTCACGAGGTCAGTAGTGCCATCCTTCACGAGGTCAGTAGTGCCATCCTTCACGAGGTCAGTAGTGCCATCCTTCACGAGGTCAGTAGTGCCATCCTTCACGAGGTCAGTAGTGCCATCCTTCACGAGGTCAGTAGTGCCATCCTTCACGAGGTCAGTAGTGCCATCCTTCACGAGGTCAGTAGTGCCATCCTTCACGAGGTCAGTATAGTGCCATCCTTCCGAGGTCGTATAGTGCCATCCTTCACGAGTGTCAGTAGTGCCATCCTTCACGAGGTCAGTAGTGCCATCTTCACGAGGTCAGTAGTGCCATCCTTCATGAGGTCAGTAGTGCCATCTTCACGAGGTCAGTAGTGCCATCCTTCACGAGGTCAGTAGTGCCATCCTTCACGAGTAGTGCCAGTCGAGGTCAGTAGTGCCATCCTTCACGAGGTCAGTAGTGCCATCCTCCACGAGGTCAGTAGTGCCATCCTTCACGAGGTCAGTAGTGCCATCCTTCACGAGGTCAGTAGTGCCATCCTTCACGAGGTCAGTAGTGCCATCCTTCACGAGGGGGAGTATAGTGCCATCCCTCAACACCTGTCACACCTTCATAGAGGTTTACATAACTGTTGTGTGTTACACATGTTAACAGTATATATTGGTGTATGTTGTGGGGATGGATTGAAAGATGTATATATATACTGTATATGCATAGATGGAAATAGACAGAAAAATACTCATAGATGTATGGATAAATGGATAGTTAGGCGGATATAGGTGACTACATAAATAGATGCGGTGGCGACTGGCGGAAGAATATAATGGAGGGACTGCGCGTCACTGTAAGCTAAGGTAATGTGTACTCTCACTCCTGCAGGTTCACGAGGACTTCCGGATGGTAGTGACGGTGGGCGTGGGGAAGGAGACGGCGTCGGACCTGACGCTGCTGGCCCGCCCTCTCTACGGCCCGCCGGCGCCCACCCTGCCCGCCACCCTCGCCTCGCTGGCCGCCCTCATCAACGGACACAACTACCGCCACCACTGTCAGCAGACACACCTTTCCTCAGTTCTGTTTACACAACACCCTGCGTACACCAGAATTATCACCCTACGTACACCAGAATTATCACCCTACGTACACCAGAATTATCACCCTACGTACACCAGAATTATCACCCTACGTACACCACAGTTATCACCCTACGTACACCACAGTTATCACCCTACGTACATCACCACCAATACCCTCCATACATCACCAACGGCACGCTACGTACATCACCAACGGCACGCTACGTACATCACCAACGGCACGCTACGTACATCACCAACGGCACGCTACGTTCATCACCAACAGCACGCTACGTATATCAACGGGTGTTAACGTGGAAGGGTCGGTAGATTGCAGGGCGGGTGTTACCGTGGAGGGTTGGGTTGAGAAGTGTGATCCTGGACGAGCTTGCATGCGAACCCCTTAACTCCCCCTTCCCCTTCTCTTCCCCTTCTCTTCCTCCCTTTCCAGCCCAGTTGTGAGGGGGCTTGGTGGGCGGCTGCCGGGGGTGTGATGCTCCATGGGTCAGTCCTCTGTCCTTTTGAAGGCATAGGCCGTCCTCACTATTTGTGCTGGAGGCCTTTTCCTCTTCCTTATGTTTCAGTTTTCCTCCCCCCCTTCTCCTTTTTTATTGTTATTTCCCGCTGAATTTTTGCCGTTATTAATTATTCTTTCAGATGTCTTTTGTTTTGACGCCAGGTGTTTGGGGAGGCGCACTCACCAGTAAAACTGTGGTACCTGACGTTATTGAGCGTAGGTATGCTTTTATTGTTAATCCTTGCCTTCGTCGCTGAACCCGATCTCAACGTACTTATAGTTCTTAAGGTGGCGATTGCAGGGTGTATACACACAACGCACCCCTGCAGGGGGCCCCCCGTCTTGTCTGGTGTCCTATCCTCTAATTGTGGCTCCATGGTGGGTATGTTGATTATTTGTGGATGAAATTTTAATTTGTGGATGAAATTTTTACCTGATTGTTTATATTACGATATCTGTCCCTCTTTTTAACGTGGGGTGAGCAACCAGGCCCTTGAGTTGGACTGTGAAGGAAGGCCAGACTCTGTAGCCCCCGCTATATTGAGCCCAGACAAATATGCTTCTCTCCCACCTCTGTGACAGGGTTGAGCCCCAAGCCTTATTGGTGATCACTTTATCACCTGAAGTGGCTCCTTCTTTCTTTGTAACAACTGCACCTTTTACCCCTCCATTACTCCCCTTCCCCTTGTACTCGGGGGTACTCCGCGCCGTCACCTTCGCACGCTCACGATTCCTTCTGGGTCTAATACATTCCAAACTTTGTTTGGTCCTGCTACATGGACTAAGTATTTTGATCTCAGTCATGTTGATTCAACACGTCCTGATGATTTATTCATCCATAAACACCTAGTTGAGTAGGTGGACACTTTTGTCACTTTTAACCCCCACCCATACTGGTACACCTGTCATTGCAGCCTCTGCTCAGGAAGTGGCTGCCCACTTAACATTGTTACCCTACATTGGGGAGACCCCTTGTTCAGATTTCCAAAAATGTCCAGTTAAATGTCATCATTAGCACAGTTATCCTCCCGCACCATGTTGTGACTGGTGATAGGGAACTGAAAGACTTCTATGAGGATATTAAACATATCCTTGAGGCCCAAGGCCATTCTATCCTACAGACTGATACGTTCACTCGACCCCCCTCCCCCTCGTTTTCGTCGTCCTTAGCCTTTTCACGTCGTGAAGATCACTTTTGATAGGTACCTGTGCTCCAGATGGGGAGCACAGGTTCAGGAGTACATCCCCTTCTCCATGCCTCTGCAATAGGTGCTGGAGATTTTGGCATGGTCCCTTCAAATGCACAAATGAGGTATCTCTCTCTTGACTTTTGTGAGGGCACTTGGTCATTCAAAGACAGAGTGCTCTTCTTCCCAAGCTCACTGCATCAATTGCGGTGACGCCCAACCTACCTTCTCTCATGCATATATGCACTATAAATTTGAGGAAGCCATCCTCAATATGAAATATCGTGACCATATATCATTTACTGAGGCGAGATGCCAAGTATGTCGTCTTCCCTCTTTCTCTGGCATGTCTTCTGTTCGTACGTTGCGGTCCACTTCTTCTCGCCTTCTTCCACTTTCTTAGTTTCGCAACCGTTTCCAGGCCTTGGACCTGGACACCACCACCACCAACTCTCCTGCTTCTTTGTGTTCTGAGCCAGAGGGGTTTCCTCCTGGTTTTCCGTCTGGTGTTTCTTCTTTCTCAGTATTCGTTGTCTCTTGTGCCCTCTTTCCCTTTTCGGCCCAGTCTTTCTTCTCGGCCCTTCCCTCTGTCTTTTAGCACTCCACAACGCCTGTCTGTCCAGGCCATTGTTTATCCTCATCCCAGCCATCTTCACGTTGCCCGTTCCCGTTGTCCTTCTGTTGAAACTGTCGCCCAGTATATTGCTGCAGGTACACCTGTCCCTTTATGTCAGAAACGTAAGCCTGGCTCCTTTTCTCCTTCCTCCTCAGCGGGCATCGCGCTCTCCCTCACCTTCTGACTCAGACTCTATCCCTGTATTCCATCCCATTTCTGTGGTTGATTCATATGTCCCAGCTATGGCGGTTCCCTTGGTCCTGATACTCTCTTGGATGCTGCCCTTGTTGAGGTCTGCTCCCATGTTTGTTTCCCCCTTCCCCTGATTCCCTTGACCGCCCTTCTCCGATGCCTCCTCCCGCTCCGGACTGTCCATCTCTGGTCCATCCTACTCTTCCCTTGACTCCATCGTTCTTACTAGCTTTACCTATGCCCAGTATTCCCGGTTTCACTGATCTTGATTCTACTTATCATACTGTGTTCTTCTTTGCCCTTGTTTCTCTCGTGTTCTCTGTTTCTGTTCTCTCTATTCTTGACACTGTCTATTATTCAATGGAATATTCGTGGATTATATGCCAACTTCCACGAACTCCAACTTCTGATACAGTTTTCACCGCTTTGTGTCTGTCTCCAGGACCCGATGCTTGGCTCGCGTCCTGGTCACTTCCGTGGTTATTCCTTTCTATTGCCCCCTCCAGCTTTTGCTGGGGCCCATAACTCTTCTGCTCTCTAGATTCATACTGATATTCCCTTCGTCCCCCTACTTTTTCAGTCGCACATTGTGTTCTGTGGCCAGTATCTTTGTGAGTAAATAGTATACAGACTGTTCCATTCATCTCCTCCCTAATGTCCCGCTTTCTTTTCCTGCTGTTAAACACCTGTTGGGCTTCGTACCAGAGCCTGTGCTCATTTTGGGTGATATTAACTGTCGGCATACCCTCTGGGGTGATGTTCTGACAAACACCCGGGGCTGCCTTCTTGAACCATTTATCCTCTCCTTCTCTGGCTCTTCTGAATTCTGGTGAACCCACTCATGTTGACCCATACCCTCTCCTGTCTTGATCTTTCTCTCTGCTCGTCCTATATTTTTTTCGATTTCACGTATAGGGTTCTTGATGACCTCTATAACAGTGACCATTTCCTCATCCTTGTCATCTTTTTCTCTTTTTTCACTCTCCCCTCTTCTTCCCCAGGTGGCAGTTTGCCAAGGCTGACTGAAATCTAATCAGCCTACATGCTACTATTTCCGACCTCTCCGATCTGCTTCTTGGTGCCTTCGTTTTGATAATTACTTGCCTATTTCCATTTTCAAGAACGACAGTTTTTGGCCTTGTTAACACAAAAAGCTACTTTCTTTGTAAGAGGACAGGTTGGTGCTTGACGGACACCGCCTTGACCACTACCCGAGAGAATGTGAACATCTAAAAGACATTAGAAATGGGTCTAGAATTGTAAGAAATGGATTTTATACAAATTTAAAAAACAAAAAATGCGTGCAACCGGTACTGATGATAACAATAACACCTCAATTGTTCACTGCCTTGTACCAGTCATGAGTTAACTGCTTGTATTAAGTGCCAAGAAGGTTTGAAGGGAGTTGTTGCATTTTGAAATAACCCTGTCCTAATCCATCTTAGGATAACCCTAAAGGTTAGTAGTAGTTATTGTAAAAGAATATGTTGGTCGCGTTGTGTTGGGAACAGAAGAGGCGTTGGGTTAAAGGATAGCATCGTGGAACCTTGAACAAAAGGCCCGACTCCGAAAGCTAGTTTACTTGCTATCAATAAACTAGAGTACTACTTGTAAAGTAGTATACTACATGGAAAATAGTGTTATGTGCTAATCCCATAAAACATACCACGAAATCCCATGTAACGTGTCTGGTTGGTTTCGCTTAACAGACTAAATGTAGCGATACATATACGGCATGTACATACACACACACATGTATACACACTCATGCATACACACTCATGCATACACACACACATGCATATACACACACATGCATACACACACACATGCATACACACACATGCATATACACACACATGCATACACACACATGCATACACACACACATGCATATACACACACACATGCATACACACACACATGCATACACACACACACAGAATGAAATACAATGATTGACATGAAAATGAGTTAAAACTTAATGTTAAGGAGAACTGTGTGCTTGACAGATCTCGGGTCATCATGGAGACGGGCTGTATGGCAGGTGGCGGCCGCTCACACCATCTGTGCCGTCACTCGTTACTGGCATGGTCACCCCTCCCCCGTGCCCACACCATGCCCCCCTACCCTGACGCCCAGGACTCAGGTGGCAGTAACGCGTCCCTCTTCCTCCACCCCGACTCCCCCGCCCACAGGAGGCAAGCAAGAAGTGGAAGTGCTGGGCTGGCTGGGCCTTGACGGACATCTGAACTTGGAGGAGGTGACGGTTACTTGGGCCTGTCTCGCCAAGCTTTCCCTGGAGCGATCGCTCGATGATGAAACCGTCGTTCAGTTCTTAGGTGAGAGGTGTGTGTGTGTGTTGTGTACTCACCTAGTTGTACTCACCAAGTTGAGATTCGGCTCTATGGTCCCACCTCTCAACTGTCGATCAACTGGTGTACAGGCTCTTGAACCTACTGGGCTCTATCATATCTACACGTAAAACTGTGTATGGAGTCAGCCTCCACCACATCACTGTCTAATGCATTCCATTTATTTACTACTCTGACACTATAAAAATGTTTGTATGTTATGTGTTGTGTGAGAGAGCGGGGAGCTTGTGCGTGAATGCGAGTCAAATTCAAATTCCTTTATATACATAACTAGTTGATATAGAATGCTGCATCCTGTAACTGGTGCACGAAGAACGACCACGTGGTATAAAATACGCAATATATTACCCAATATATATTGTGATGTATTCCATCCCTATCACACAATATATATCGTGTGATAATGACTGTGGGATAAATTCCAGGGACAGATATAATGAGGACTGTAAATTAATAAATACTTCTTTAAAATAAGCTTGCAAAGTAAAATGATAAAAATCCTAAGTTGGGTTGTAAATCCAGCCAATCCTCTTGTCCTAGGAAGAAATGAGGGCTGTATACTTCAGTTACAGGCTAAACAAGGTTATTGATTGAAGAACTACAATGTACCTGTTGGCGTTTTAACACATCAGCATTGTAGTTTACAATTGATTAAATAATAAAACACAGTACAATGACTGTAAATACTGGTTCTGTTCTAGCATCAAAAGATCTGAACACTGTACACAGTCTAGCTTTTAAGAATATTGCAGCCAATAAATGAGATTAATTATACTAGTAAATATAACAATAACTAGTTATATGATTCAAGCAAGATATTTATGCAAATATGCAAGCAAATATCATTACTTGATAACTATGATACCAATTGATAACTTGATGATTTATACAGATTAGTTATATATACATATATTCAGATTCAATTGTAAAGATTTAGATGCTTGCTTTATTGTGGGGATTTTCCCCTCTTACCTTACCTTACCTTGAGGTGCTTCCGGGGCTTAGCGTCCCCGCGGCCCGGTCGTCGACCAGGCCTCCTGGTTGCCGGACTGATCAACCAGGCTGTTGGACGCGGCTGCTTGCAGCCTGACGTATGAGTCACAGCCTGGTTGATCAGGTATCCTTTGGAGGTGCTTATCCGGTTCTCTCTTGAACACTGTGAGGGGATTGTCAGTTATGTCCCTAATGTGTAGAGGAAGCGTATTGAACAGTCTCGGGCCTCTGATGTTTGATAGAGTTCTCTCTCAGAGTACCTGTTGCACCTCTGCTTTTCAACGGGGGTATTCTGCACATCCTGCCATGTCTTCTGGTCTCATGTGCCGTCACTCGTTACTGGCATGGTCACCCCTTCCCCGTGCCCACACCATGCCACACCGTGAAATTATATATTTCCATATATAATGACAAACTTATTGGATAGAATAAGGTTATTAAGCATGCAAAATTGGTCAATTTTAACACACTACAAAAACTTAAAAAACTTATTTCTGAGAGCCGGTGCCGATCTGACCATTGCCAGATTTAAGATCTCTTGAGGAGATAAGGCACAGTATTTTGATAAGATAACAGCATTGCTGCAGTGATTGGATTGTGATGGGATTGATTGGATTGGAACTCCCCGAGTATCTTGTGGAGTTATCACTGGGGATTAAGATGAGTTTGTGCAGTTTTAGTTTTGATAACCCCTCCCTTTCTAGCCCGTTGTCGTCGTGAGGGGGCTTGGTGGGTGGCTGCCGGGGTGTGGTGCTCCGTGGGACATTCCTCTGTCCTTTTAAAGCCGTAAGCTCCTGCGGCCGTCTTCACTAATTTTGCTGGAAACTATTTCCTCTTCCTTATTTTTCATTTTCCTGCCATTTATCTCGCACAAAATGCGTACAAATGCCACCCACCAGTAACTGAAGTAAGTAAGCCAACTACAAATGGACTGTCGCTCCAAAATGAAAATGTTGGGATGCCATTGATCTCCCCCCCCCCTCTTCTCCTTTCTAATTGTCATTTCCCACCGACTCGTTGCTGAAACCAATCTCGACAAACTGGATGTTCTTAAAGTGGCGATTGCGAGGTGTATACTCACGATGCACCCCTGGGGGGGCCCATCTTGTCGCGTGTCCAATCCTCTAATTGTGGCTCCACGGTGGGCATGGGGGCTTATCCGTGAATGAAATTATTACCTACTCATTTCTAAGCTGCTGAATGATTTTCCTATAACTTCCCAGGCTTGTGGGGTGGGCGACCAAGCCCCAGATTCATCTGTGTTGGAAGACTGGGCTCTGTAGCCCCTGCTACATTGGGCCCAGACCATGCTACTCCTTTGACCCTCCCGACTATGCCCTACTGCTCCCCTCCCTCCTCTGTGGTAGGGTTGAGCCCCAAGTTCTCAGTGGTAACCACCTCATCACCTGGAGTGGCTACTTCTCTCAGTGTGACATCTATGCTTTTTACCCCCCCTCCCCCCCTTCTCATCACTGTGGATGCTCGGCGACATCCCCTCCCCCCTGCCCACCCACACACAGACACACTCGCATGATTCCTTCCAGTGCTAATATGTTCCACACCTTGTTTGGTTTTGCGTCATGGACTAAATACTTTGAACTCGACCATCTGGATTCTACACGTCCTGACGATTTCTTCCTCCATAAACATTGATTGATTCGGTGGATGCCTCTGTTACTTTTTAACCCCACCCGTTTTGGTACAAGTGAAGTTGTTGCTGCTCCTCAGGATGCAGCTGTTCGCTTAGCCGCATTGTCCAGCATTAGGGTGATCCCTGTTAGGGTCTCCAAAAATGCCCGGTTAAATGCCAGTATTGGCACTTATTCTCCCGCACCATGTTGCAACTGTTATTAGGGACCTGAAAGACTGCCACGAGGATATTAAACATATCTATGAAGCCCAAGGGCATTCTGTCCTCCAGATTGATACGTTCACCCGACCCCTCTGTGATCGTCGACGTCAGCCTCTTCGAGTTGTGAAGATCACTTTTGATAGTAGGACCCTTCCACCTTCTGTAATTCTTGCTGGTGTCAGATGTTTTGTTCAGGAGTACATTCCCTCTCCTAGAGTTTGCAGTAAGTACTGGAAATTTGGGCATGGTGCCCTCATATACACAAGTGCAGTGTGTGTGTGCCCCATGTGTGGGGATTCGAGTCACTCTTAAGACAAAGTGCTCTTCTTCCCACTGCTCACTGCCTCAATTGCGATGACGCCCACCCTACCTTCTCCCACGTGTGTGTACACTACAAATTTGAGGAAGTCATCCTCACTTTGAAGCACCACAATTTTGTCTTTTTCTGTGGCAAGACACTAAGTCCGTCTCACCTCTTTCGCTAACATATCTTATGCTCGTGTGTTGCGTTCCACCTCTCTTTACCCTTCCTTCTTTCTGTCTCTCAACTATTTCCAGGCCTTGGAACCGGACATACCACTGCCTCCTTTCCTGTTCCTTTGTTTTGAACCAAGGGGTCTTCCTCCTTGTTCTCCATCTGGTGTTTCCCTCCTTCCTTCCCAGTCTGTCATGTCTCCTGTGTCGTCTTCCCCGTCTCCCACCGATCCTTCTTCCCAGCCCTCCCCTGTCTCTTGGCCCTCCACGCCACCTGTCTGTCCAGGCTGTTGTCCATCATCCTTCCAGCAATCTACATGTTGATCGCTCCCGTTCTCCTTCTCCTGTTGAGACTATGGAGACTGATGCCCAGTATGTTGCTGCTGTCTCCAGGAACGTAATCCTGGCTCCTCTCCTCCTTCCCCCTTGGCAGGTAAGAAGGTGTCTCTTAAGTCAGCTCCCGAACGTAATCCTGGCTCCTCTCCTCCTTAGCTCCCCTTGGCAGGTAAGAAGGTAGCTCAGTCGATTAAGGCAGTGTCTGGGATGCTCCCGGACGCAGGTTCGAATCCTCGTCACGGCCCTTGTGGATTTGTTCAAGGCATCGCTTTCTTCCCCCCCCCCCCCCCCCCCCCCCCCCCCCCCCCCACCTGACTCCGATTCTATCCCTGCATCCCCTCACATTTCGGTGGTCGAGCCCCCTGTCCCAGCTATGGAGGTTCCTTTAGCCCTCGAGTGTCTCTCTCTCTGTTGCTGCCCCTGCTGAGGTGTGCTCCCCCCCCCCCCCCCCAATTTCCTTGACCTCGATCTCCATTACCTCCTCCAGCTCCGGACCCTGTCCATCCGCTTCTGGTCTGTCCTCCCACTCCCTTGACTTCATCTTCATTGCTAAATTTATCCATGCCCCCTAACCCTAATGTCACTGATCCTGACCTTATTTAGTATACTGTGTTCTTCTTTGTCCTTGTCGTTTCATTGTTCTCTGTTGTTGTTCTCTCTCTTTTTGACAATGTCTATTCAATGGAATATTCGTGGATTTTATGCCAACTTCCATGAACTCCAACTTCTGATTACATAATTTTCACCACTTTGTGTTTGTCTCCAGGAGCTGATGCTTGGTGCTCGTCCTGGTCACTTTCGTGGTTAATCCTTTCTCTTCTCCCCTCCCCTCCCCCCAGCTTTTGCTGGGCCCATAACTCTACTGCTTTCTTAATTTGTACTGATGTTCCCTTCGTCCTCCTACTTTTTCTGTCGCCTATCCAATGTTCCGTTGCCCGTATCTTTGTGAGCAAATGGTATACAGTCTGTTCCATTTATCTTGGCCCAAATGTCCCACTTTCTTTTCCTGATCTTAAGCACCTGTTGGACTCCTTAGCAGATCCGGTGCTCCTGTTGGGTTATTTCAACTGTCAGCATACCCTTTGGGGTGATGCTCTGACAAACACCCGGGGCCTGCCTTCTTGAACCGTTTGTCCTCTCTTCTTCCTTGTCTCTTCTGATTTCTGGTGATCCCACTCAAGTGGACTCCCTCTCCTGTCTTGATCTTTCTGCGTGTCTTCTCTTGACTTAGATTTCACATTGCGGGTTCTTGATGACCTCCATAAGTGAACATTTTCCCATCCTTGTCACCTTTTTCACCCTTCCCTTTTCT